AAAGAAAACATTGCGTCTCTGAAAAAAGAACAAGCTACGACAAGAAAGAAAAAACCAGGGAATAAAGAAATCTTGGATATATGATAGTATATATATTCAGTAGAAAGGTTGAAGAAATCTTTCAGAAAAGAAAGCAAATCTTATGATGGTGAAAAAATTTAAGAAGTGTAGAGGACCAGCCCAGGAGGGCCAATATCTGAATAATTAAAGAATCCCATAAATAAAATATGGAGAAAATGGGGGTGAGAAAATCTTTATAGCAGTAGACCTAGAACACTTTCCCCACACTGGAGATCATAAGTTCTCATAAACAAGGACTTTCTGTGTGCCCAACAACAACAACAACAAAAAGAATTTCACAAGACACACTCAAGGCATAGGAAAGAGCCAAAAAGATTTAAGAAAGAAAAAACTGTGTTCTTACAAAAGACACAGAATAGTATTGGACTTTCCAATCGAAACTAGACGACAACAGACCAAGCCTTCAAATTTCTGATGGAAAATTATATCCAACTTAGAATTCTATACCTAGTGAAACTACCATCAATTAATTGTGAGGGTAGAAAAGGCATTTTAGAAAGCAAGGCCTCAGAAAGCTTTGAGAAACCTCCTTGTTGGTGTTCTACTCAAATAAAGTAGTGAATCTTGAAGGAGGAAGGCTTGTAATCTAGGAAGCAATGGATCCAATGCAGGAGAGGGATGCAGAGAAGCCCCCAAACGATGGTGAAGGGGACCCCAGGATGAGATCAGAACATCAGGCCTGGTCATCCACAGTCCAGAATGGTGCTGTCAGAGGTCTGAAGGTACTTTCTAAGATGAGTAGATTGGTACAATCCATAATGTGGGTGATTGCATGAAGAAATTACACAAATAAGGGAGAGTTTGGTGAGGAATAGGGATGGATGCCTAGAAAACTAAGTAAAAAATAAAACAAGCAAGCAAAACATACCATTGATTAATTGCAGGGGAAACACAAAATTGTACAGGAAAAAAAATTAATCTTGACACAGTGTGAGTAGCACTTATTTTTGTCAAGATCATATAAAAAATCTTTTCAAAACACAGAAATTTTCCATATGGGAAGAACTGATTGTGTGATTCACAGAGAACGAGTGTGTGGTTATCTGTATGTGTGTGCTTGAGGGTGCTGGCATGTTGTGTGTGAGCTAAATCCTTATTTTGTATGGTGAGAAGTAAAAAGGTAGTACCTAAAACGGAAAAAAAACAAGAAAAAGAAACAAGTGTGTTCTTTAGCAATATGGAGCTAAGTATTAAAAGCAGCAGCTCAGAGTTGAAAGCGATTGACTCTGAAGACAGGAAAAACGGAAGTGGTGGATGAACGACCTAGGTTTTTCCTAACAAGCCTTGTTGAACCATTTGATTTTTTTTTAACTACGTGAAAGAAAAACTTTGATAACAAAAAATAAAAACTAAACTAAATAACGGCAAGTCCTGGTGTGGCGCTGTGGATTAATGCGTCAAACTGCAAAGTCATTTTAACTGCAAGGTCGGTGGTTCAAGCTTACCAGCTGCTCCTTGGAAACCCTATACAGGGTCACTATGGGTCGAAATCGACCCAATGACACTTAACAACAACAAACACTGCTGAGCCTCTCCTAAAGAGCCTGTGACTCAGGCAGTGGGTAGCCTGGACCTCTAAGTCACCTTGAGGAACATCTGTCATCATGAGTGAAGTGGTCAGGGCTGGTCATCATGGGAAACTCAGAGCTGGGGAACCCTTGGTGCAAAGGCATATCTGGATGCACAGAGGAGCATTGTTTATTTGAACTGCCATGCCTTGATTTTAATGTGTAGTAGAAAGTGTAATTAGCATATCACATCCATAAGGATGTTATTGCTTAGAATGGAGCCAAGATTGCTAAAGGAAAATACTAGGATAATAGTAGAAGAGATATGTGGAAATGGAGAAAGTTCCGGTGGGACCATGATCGAGGTCATGGTCAGTTCAATACCACATGTTAGGAACGAGGACCCTAAACCCAGAACAGAGGAGGGGTCCTTCCAGTTCCCCAGTTTCTTAAAAGCACATGGCCAGGAGGCAGGGAACCAAGGCTAGGTTTGTTATGTTCTGCCTCTGGTTGCTCATAATCCTGAAATGCCTCTGTATGGTCAGTTCTTGGTTGTCTTCCTCTGTAAAATGAGGGCATTCTGCAGATAATAACAACAATGTCAATGATCATTGTAGATTATCTTTACAGAATGCTTACTACCATGTACTAGAAACAAAAGCAAAAACTTATATAATTTGGGTACTATGTGCCAGGTGGAACCCTGGCAGCATAGTGGGTTACTAGCCACAAGGTCGGCAGTTCGAATCCACCATCTACTCAGAAGTAAAAGGATGACCCTGTCTGCTCCCGTAAAGATTTTCAGTTGAGTCATTATGAGTAGGAATTGACTCAAAGGCACATAACCGCCATCGCAACAGCATATGCCAGGCACTCTTTGAAGCACTTTGCATATATGAAGGGGGTTTTTACAAATCCAAGGGAAAACTCCATCATCTTTTCATTCCATTTTCCATAAAATTTTTTGAAGCTCTCTCATATTAACTTCTATCACAAAGATAGGCAACTAGTCTCTAAGACTGCCCCCAATGATCTTTGCTTCCTGGTTGTCCCCTGTAATCAATAGGCTATTGCAAAAATGGCATGGGATTGCTGCAGTCGGGCCCTAAAAGACATTGTGATTTCCTGCTTGCTTTCTGTTGCTCGCTCTTGGATCACTCACTCTGGGGGAAACCAGCTCATGCCATGAGGACACTCAATCAGCCCCACAGAGAGATCTATCAAGTGGACAATGGATTCCTCTGGCCAATAGCCAGGATGAACTTGCCAGCTATGTGAGGAAGCCAACTCAGATTCCTGAGTCCCAGTTAAACCTTCAAATGGCAGAAACCTCATGAGAGATCATGAGCTAGGACTTGCCAACTCAGCTGCTCTCAAATTCCTAACCCACAGAAGCTGTAAGGGATAATAAATGTTTATTTGTTTTAAGCTGCTAAGTTTTAGACGTAATTTGTTATATTGTTGTTATTGTTAAGTGCTGTTGCTCCGTTCTGACTCATAGCAACCCTGTATAGGGTTTCCAAAGAGCAGTTGGTGGGTTTGAACTGCCGACCTTGTGGTTTGCGGTCCAGTGTTGATCCTACAGAGCCACACTAGGAGTCCTACTTGCTATATAGCAGTAAATAAGTAATCCTGGTAGGATAAACACTGGACTGATAACTGCAAGGTTGATGGTTTAAGTCCACTACATGCTCCTTGGAAAACTTATACAGGCTAACCATGAGTTAGAACCAACTCGACAGCCCTTGACAACACCAACAAAATTGGGTACTAATGTCATCCCCATTTTGAGAAAACTGAGGCAGAGAGAGTTCAAGAAACTCACCCTAGATCACAAAGCTAGTAAGTGACTTAAACCTAAGAGGTTTGAATTTTACAAAGTACATGTAATGAATTAGAATCCCTCTTTTACAGGACTCAAAAAGCTCTGCCTAGTCCAGAGAGAGAAAGAGACACAAATTCAGAGATAGTGACAGAGAGAAATTGGCAATTGGGCTACACGTCTGTAACATGAGGAAGTGAAAGTGGGAAAGCTCTCTTCCACTTGCAGCTCAGGACTGCTAATTTCTGACACTGTATTGGGTGCCTGTGGTGGGGATGTGATGCCCCATGAGAAGCCCCCTCTCATTAGTTCTTATCACCCGCTGTTGCCACTGTTTATTCAGTCTCTCTCGGCTCCCAGACCAGAGATCGTTATGGACAGGGATGGAGTCTTGTTCAGACTCTGCTCAGACAGAGTAGGCTGGGAGCAGTGAATGCAGAAGGAATGGAGGTCTCTGTAGAGGCACAAGCTACACCTGGGGATCACCTGCCCTACCCTGGAGAGAGCTAGTTTGGTCACTGTTCTTCCCTTTAATGAGTCATCTCTGGGACCCAGCAAGAAGCAGGGTGGTCCTGGCTCTGACTTAAGGGGCTCCCCACTGCATGGGGATCTACCAACAACCCAGTGTGATCAGGGAGATCAAGGCAGCACTGTGGAAGCTCTGAGGAGCTGGGAGGACTTTTGTGGAGGAGAGACTGAAAGGCTTTCTAGAGGAGGAAATATTTAAACTGAGGCCCAAAGAAAAAATACAAACAGGCTAATGTAAGGGTGTTGTAGGCACAGTGTATAGCCTGGCAAAGGTTTGAAGATTCAGCTTTGAGGGTAAGATGAAGGCGCTCCACGTGCATGGGGTGGGCTGATAGCCATGGTTGCTTAGTGCCTGATGGCCCTAAAACATTGAGGTTTGGAAGGGATAGTGTGCCATGCTAACAGCTGATGGAATGTTACCTAACTCTTTCTTGGAGTCAGGTTTGAGTCAGTAAATGGCAGGGCCAGTAATTGAACCCAGATGGGAGAACTGGGAGTTGATTAATTTTAATGTGTGGCAAAGGGAAGAATGTTCAGTTCTTGAAATACATAAAGCGCTCATGAGGTGAACATTGAAGTCCTGGCATACCTCTGTTGCCCAGACTTTCTGTCGCCACCTGTCCTCTCCCTTAATCCTAGGCTGACTCAACATACCAGCCTTGCCCACTCCTGGGGTTACAAAGAAAATGCTCAAACCTGACTCCAAGTGCATCTGAGCCCTGGTTCAGATGCAAACATGCATTTAATTAAACTCATGTGCCAGGCACCATTTTAGGTCCAAGAATACAGTACTGTTGTTGGTAAGTGCCATCAAGTTGGTTCCAATTCATAGCAATCCTGTATAAGTTTTTCAAGGAGCGGCTAGTGGGTTTGAACTGCCAACCTTGTCGTTAGCAGTCCAGTGCGTATCCTATAGTGCCACACCAGAACTCCAATAGATATACTGTCGAAACAGACAAACCTGTGTTTTGTCCATTCCTCAAATGGCGAGCACCACTTCTGTTACTTTATTGCCCCTAACCCCAATACAGGGTTGACACATGCTTGTTAAATAATGCAACATGCTGGACTCTTTGGGAAAGGTAAAATCAGAGAAACATCAGGCTGTCTGCTTCCACAAAGATTTACAGCCTCAGAAATCCTATTGATGTTGTTGTCAAGCGCTGTCAAGTTGATTCCGACTCACAGCGACACTGTATAGGGTTTCCAAGGAGCAGCTGGTGAACTTGAACCACCAACCTTGCAGTTCAAATGACTTTGCAGTCTGACACATTAGCCCACAGTGCTACATTAGGATTCCCAGAAATCCTATAGAGCAGTTCTACTCTGTCCTATGAGGTTGCTATTAGTTGCAATCAATTAATCAGCAGAGATGGGTTTAATAGGGCTCAAGAAGTTGCTGATGGGTGGTTCCCAGGCCTGGGGCTCAGGAGGCCCCTTCTGCCTTTTTAGCAGCCAATGCCTTCACACATCATTCTCCGTTGAAGGTTCAACATACTGGTGTTAGTGAGGAGGAGCTGTGGCCCTCCAGAGAGGGCATCTTCTTCCTGAAGAGGCTATTAGGGGAGGAGTGCACTCTCTAATGGCAGGGATAATGCATCCCTTCTGAGGACCCCATAGTCCCTATCGCAGCAAGTATTACCTGCAGGTCTCCCACATAGTCTACCCCCCCAGTGTGGACCGGTGGAGAGTACTGAATGAGAATGAACAAAGTCCATGCACTAAGCCTCACTCCCTGCCTGTATAGCAAACACAGGGGCACAAAAACTAGCTACACGGACATGTAATAATATCCAGATGTTTAACAATACCGAAGTTGATGAAGGGTGCACTGCCCCCCAGCTTCTTTCTGATCGCACACATCCTGGTACCCTAGTCATCCCCCCTACACACTACAGAGGATTGTACACCCCCTTCTTCCAGACTCACTCCTACACATCCCTTATCCCCTGATCTGCCTGTCGCCTCCTCCAGGAAGCAGGTGCTGCTTCTTCTGGCCGGCGTCCAACCTCTGGAGACAGGGACCTGGCCTGGTTCATCCTGGCGTCTGCATCGCCCAGCACGCTCATCTGCTTAGAGCAGGGTCAGCGAGTGCCTGCCGACGGAATACATGGACCTACAGGAGGGAGGAGGGAGAGGAGGTAGCGGCAGGCGGAGCGTGGAGTGGAGGCAGCAGCAGGAGGGGGTGCGCGCGCCGGCGGCGTCCGCCC